CCCCCCCCCCCCCCACGGTGGGGACAAATTGTCCCGTTCGTACATATTCCCGAGTGCAGAACTGCGTGCAACAAATTGCACAATTTTGACCTCCCTAAGGTATCATGGCATGATCTGAATTGAGTAGAAACATGATTGTGACCACGGAAGCCTAGTCTTCTTTTTTTTTTCATATCTTTACTCAAGCTGGGAGCAGTTAATGTCTTAGGTATGACATGGTGATAACCTACTTTGCTCTGAATTAGAGTGCACGGTTTCAAGAAGTCGATCAAGTGGTCTGATCGTCCGTTTGCGAAACGTTGTCCTGAAAAGTACTGTTGTCAATAACAGGGTCTGACGTTTCGAAAACGTGAGCGAAATTCATCGTTAGAGTCAAGAAGCATGACACACCCTTCCTTCCCCATGTTTTATGGGAGTTCTCATCCTGAGTTTCCTGCCATCCAAGATGGGCAGGAATGCTAATAATCGTTAGTTGTGTGTAAGTTACTTGGAAATTATAAACATTTCAAATATTTTCGAGTAACAAGCCAAAATTCTATCTTGTTTCAGGACACAGCAGCAAAGCGTGCGTCGTACGTTCGATGTGTAGCAAGTTTGCTGTCCAAGTGCTCGATGGACACAAAACACAAAGTCAAATCTTACGGACCAGTGATTTTTTTTGTACTTAAAGATATCGAGTCTGTTGCTGGTTCAGGTCAGTAAAGAGCGCATTAACCTACAAACGGAAAATTCCTCGTCTGAGAAATTTCGAATTATTTTCAAGGCAGAAACGCTCAGTAACCAATAAAACACTTTGGAATGCACTCGCTATAGCTTCACAAGAAAACGCGAAGGGAAATTATCGCTCTTCCCTGCAGAAAGTTGCGCAGTGTGAGAAGCGCCACCCTTGTTATAGCGGTAATTTCCGTTAAAGCTTCGATTTTCTCAAAGGTATCCTAAGATATGTTTTGACCACTTACGTTGATCAGTCACCAGCTTTCTCTGACTTGGCGTGAATTTCTAGAATGTCATCTTGTGAACTATGAATGACCTTCCACCTAGGTGTTGATCCAGCAAGTACTGCATCAGAGGTGTGCATGATGATGTCCGAGGCACTCAACCTCTTGAACATTTGTTCTCCCGTGGGAGATGTACTCCGTGTTACTCTGGACTCTATATTGCAGTTCATCCGCGATACTTCTTGTACAATGGTTGTCTTGGTGTCCATATCGGCAGCTTGTAGGACCCTTGCTAACATCCAGTACATGGTCTCCGTTGCGGAGACTGGAATCCAGTCATTTTTTACAAAGTATTCGCCACCAAACCCCACTGGGGCTCAAACGGACGTGGATGGAGGCTGGGCACAAGTTGTGCCCAGTGTAGCGGTGCCGGAGCTCGCACAAGATGAATTTGTTCAAGGTCAGTTCTATTTTTGTTTTATTTTCCAGGCCAATTCTCGCCAGCTCCTCGGGACAAACCGCTCACCTATATAAAGAGAGATTGTGACACTGTGAGAGGATACAACACGAAAATCCCGGACTAGACTCGATCACGAGTCCTATGTGATTTCATAGTTCGGTTATGAGTTCTGGTTTTTGCTCTTATCAACTATCACGCTTAGATATCGAGAATGAATAATCTCAATTTTGTGGTACTGATGTAATAGCCTTTGAAAATTTTAAGAACTCCTGTTGTTGTTGTTGTTGTTGTTTTTCTTTTTTTGGTTTGTTTTCAGCTGCACACTGTTAGGGTATTAACTTAACTCACCATCTATCGCAGAATTGACAGCTAGTAGCGTAGGAGAAGAAGGCTGGAAGATTTGTACAAAAAACCAATAGTCTGCGTCTTCTCCTTTGATAAAACAAACTCTTGCAACTACTCGGGCGCTACTCTAATGCACTTTTATTCGGTTAGTGACATATTTCATGGAGTGATTTATATTATTCTTTCAGAATGTGTCAGGCAAGGTGCTCTGCTGACGCTCTACACAAACATACTCCTTAAGTTGTCCTCATGTCAAAGTCCAGTCCAAGAGATGTCTGTTCTTACTGATATAGTCACGTGGTGCTCGCAAATTAAAATGAGGTGAGGATATGGATATGATTTTTAGCGGGTGAAACAGAATACACACTCATCAGCTCGAGAGTTAGACAGTTGTCACGATGTGATAAAAGATTCTCTGGATCAATTTAAAAGGAAATGTATAGATCTGCAAGGGAGAGTTACGAATCAGATCATGGGGTAAAGATTTGTGTCTGAACCTGCCTTTATTTGAGTTTCTTAATCTCGTTTATCATAGGCGTGAATTTGAAACTAAGGTTACGTTACTGTGGCACAAGATTCTCCAACTGTCTGTGAGACAGGTTTACTATGCAAAAGGACCTTTACAAGATTTGACCAAACAGCTGTCATTTCTTGCTTCGTATCTGCATTCGTTAGGAGAAGACAAGTCTTCTGCTGGTTTGTTAGGAGCAATTGGATTTGGAAAGAAGTCGCAGCTTAGTGTTCAGTGAGTATTTTTGTGTTTTTTCTTTGAGCCGATTGTCTCTAACACAGTCGACGCTCTCTGCGGGCAGTTTCTACCACAACTACTTTGAAGGAAGCACCTTGCAATTTTTTTGGTCACATTTCAGCGACACAGAGTATTGTCACCGAATGAAATAAAAGCTTAAAATGATTTTTTTTCGGGTTGACAAACATCTACGAGATAAGGATAATAAAAAAAAAAACAGGGTGATGAAGGATGGATAAACAAAAATTTTAAAAGAAGTGTCAGTCGAATTTTTCAAGATTGATAAACTGTAGCCCTCTATTGACAGAACTGTGATTGAGGGTAGTTGATTTAGGGTGCTAGAAGAAACTCGTGAATCACTTGAGCGATCTCCAGTTTTTAACACTATGTTGAAACAAACTCACCTAAAAATCAGTACATTGTACGTAGTTCTTTAATTTCTCATTTCTTTGCAGATTCCGGTTCATGTGCCGCGCATTGGAAGCTTTCCTGCTGGCACAGATGCCTTCAAACTCTCTTTTGAGACTAGAAGCCAAAGCCCCAGGATATGTGCGAGAACCGAAAGGGGTACGATCAGAATCCTTCAGTCCAATTTCACTGTTTGAGATTCAAAATAGAATTTTTTCCTGAAACTTTCAGAATACTTTACCACTTTACCATCTGGTGTCGAAGAACTAAAACCATAGCTATCACAACGGCCATTAAGAGCAAAATTTATATACCACTGATATCTCAAGGAACACAAATACTCGATTTCCAGCGCGGTAACACGATAGGGAACTGAGCGCAACTGGCTTTATTTTCACATCTGATTGGATGACGTGAGTTTTTTACACCAATACAAGGCGAAATGAATGAAATTAATGCAATCATGTATTACTTTCGACTCATTAACAACGTACTCTTTGCGGCTTTACAAATAATCATCTTGGAAATTTAATGTGCAACGTAGAAGAACTACTTCCAAAGTGTGCCTAATGTTGCTTTTTTTTTTTGTTCTTTCGTGGCAGACAAAGCAGTTAGCCCCAGGCGGACGTGTCATTTCTTCCACTGCCGAAGCCGAGCAAGCTCTGAATAACTTGGAAACACTTCGAGTTAACAAACAATACGCGAGTCTAGCAGAACACATCATGGAAGCTTATTCATTTATTGCTAATCCTCTGAATTCTCTCATGGAAGGACCACAGTTTGTAGTCATGCTTGTGCGTAAACTGTTTCCAAACGATAGAGCATTAGATATCATCGCGGTTTAAAAAAATCATTGAATCAATGTCCTTGATAAGAGGAAAGACAATTTATATTTAGCTATATAAAGGAATTTCAAAAGCGTAATTTCTGCCCAAGTTTATAGGCAGGAAAAAATTACTACAATTCACAAATATTGTAATTCATTGCGATGAGTCAGGGATACTATGCGGGCATTGCGTGGTAATTTGTACTTTAAAATACTAGTCGTGGATATGGAGTAGAGTCAGAAAAATTTGGGAATCCGAGCGTTCCACCCAGACATCAGAATATTCCTCGCTTAAGAGACTAAAAACGAATCGACGTTGCTAAGCAACTCTATATTTCAGGAGCTCGAATAGCCAAATGACGTCGGACATTTTTCGGCTACTGGTGAGATTTCGCCGAGGATGCTATATTTTGTTACTTTAATTTCTGACCGTTAGAAGTGCCTAAAGTAAATAGTGATTTCGCTGCTTTCTCTATTACCTTTCTGTCGATGATGTTGGACAAACACAGAAATCTAGGCTATTAATGTACTAAAAAGAAAAATCAGTTTCCACTGTGATTCTGTGGACCTGCTCCAATTTAAATTGGTAATAAAATTCCTTCACTATGTACAAGATAGCAAGTTGTTTACCCATACATCACTTCGTCATACCTCATACAGTGGCCTTGCTGTAACGCTCTTGAAACGAAACTTAAAACATGGAATGATTTCGTATGAAGAAATTCGACGAACGGTTATGTTAGGGATCTTCGCAGTCACAGTTTCGAAAATTTCTTGAAGAAAAATATTTTCATATAGGTAACTAAATACAGAAGGGAATAACTTTCAGCTTTCGCTGATCTCGACCGGGTGCAATTCAGTTGGCTCCTTCAAGTAGATGTTTTTAGGTGAAGGCAGTCGTCAATTGACCAAAGTTATCCAAGATTTGATCGAAATAATCGAGCCTGTATTTTAACCTAACAACTAATCGCGACTTGTTAGCTCACCTTTTCCCACTTATGTAATATTAGGTCCTTAAAAAATATTTTCCGATTTGTTCAGCATGCAGTTTTGATTACGCTTTGTTATATCCATACTCTAACGAAAGTTCTCACTTAATCATATTTAATGACACGTGACAACGAACAGATTTTAAAAAGGTTTCACCAACAACCCGAATTTTGATCACTGAAGCTGTACAAGGAAAAGACAGTCACATAGTAGAAATAATTTAAATTTTTATTACTATCGTCTCTTTAGCTTCTGAACTTAACTCTGCAAAAATAATAAGTTAATATTGATCTTCAAATATTGCACACGAAGCTAAAGGCAACAGTTACACCTCGTGAAGATAACAAAAAAAATGATGGCTTTTGAACCACTTTTCTTTGCCTACAAGGTGAAGGTGATTAGAGAAGCTTTTGTGAAAGGTTAGGATAAAAACCTTCAGTCTTAAGAAGTTCGCTATTCACTGCCTGTTCCAAATTCTCGCCGCGTTTTAGCGTCCACGTTAATTTCTGGCATGTTTTACCAATTACCTGGAGGATGCAAACGTCGTAAGGTAACATTCCTAGCTCCTCCAAACGAAAGCAGTGGCTAACGACAACATTTAAATCCAACAACGCCTTGAACAAACTTCAAACCAATTTAAGCCATGAGGCAATTTATGAGCTTGTAATCATTGTCACATAAAAGATGAGAAGACTGGTGTTTTATACAAATAACTTTGACCATATATTATAATTTGTGAGTATATGATGTAATATATACCGTTATGATCCATCGATTATTTTTGCTTGCGCGCGATTGGTCTAAAAATAACGTGACCGAATATTCCCACCTAAAACTGGGGGATATCCGTGGATATCACCCAAGTGATGTTCCCCAATTTTAAACCTTACGTCCACTACCATAAATCCTCGTTTAAAATTTAATTCAAAATGAGAGAGCGTTTTGTAGTTGTTACTGAAGGAGGGAAAGAATTGTTTGTTCATTAAGTCGTACAAGAGAATAAAAAACAAAACACCCCACACCGGCAGCAGTACCCTGTTTGTAAACATTTTTTCACACGCGTTGCAAAACACTTGAAGGATAATAACCACAAAAGCCTCTACTATGAGCGAAATTATCCTCGTATACTGTTCCTTGGACATTATCTGTTCCTCGAACCATATAAATCTCCTCGAGCTTCGTTCTCGGAAAACTGTTCGCATCTTGGAACAGATAATATCCGCAGACAAATATCCGTGCATATTTTCCCCCCAAATAGAAGCTGTCGTTAACATAGCAACACTAGATATATCTACAGTGATTTTGTATTCGACACAACTTAATCACCTGATACCCTCCACATCCCTTCTTGAACAGATATCAACAGCCAATCAGGATGATCTTGACGAATAAAGTTAACTTTCGGAGTTCTCATTAAGGAAAATTTACCACTTGCTGACACCAAAAGCCTTTCATAATGTAAACCACTCGAGAGGTGTTCAGTATATGAGCTACAGACTTTGCCATTATGATGAACTATGTATTAAACCACTTTAAAAGGAATTGTTCCTTGATTTTTTCATAAAATTCCATGCGTGAGATTGAATGGCTTTCTTACAGCGACGTAACTTTGACTCCTCTTTTGCTTGAATCAGAATTCTTTTTCTGTTCGCGCCCTGACGTGCTCTTGAACACACGATGCAAGCTGGGGCTGGATATTGGAGAGTCAGTCGAATCTCGTCTACTTTTCACCATCTGTTTCTTAGGAATATTTTTTTCCGAATTCTTAACGGCTCGACTGCGATTACACTTCCCACAATTACCTTTTGTAGAGCTTTGGGCGTCTGGACGACGAATCCAGACATTCTCCACTGGGTCACAGCTACAAGTTGATGAAGCAACGCTCTCCGTGTCCGCTGAACGAGAAGGATTAGCCTCGAATGTTGGTTTTTGAATCCAAGCATTTTCCACCTCGAAATAACCTATTACTTTCCGAGGGTGACCGAACAGGTTTCGTTCACCTTCGATAGCGATCTCCGTATCTGCGTCACTGTCTGAGTCACGGTAGGATTTGAACTTCTGTGTTGAGTGCTTCTGATCAGATCGCGCAATGTTTGCGAAGATTTGATCCGAGGTACTGGGCTGCTTTACCGCTTGACGTATTTTCGAGGAGTTCTCTTCCTGTAGCCCAAACTCTGTCATCTCGTAAGTCTCTCCAGGACATGCCTCAGCCCACTGGTTGAGTCTTTTTACTGTAGACGGGGAAACCATGGAAGTAGTCTCTCCCTGCTGAGATACTGACTGCTGAGGGTGTCCGCCTCCTCCTTCAAAGTTTTTCTGTACCACACTTCTGATCTTGGATATCACAGACGCCTCTCCAGAACCCTTGTCTCTTGATGTGTCTCTCTTGGGTTTGTGTGATACATGTAAAGGGTACGAGTCACACAATAGAGGTATTACCACACAGCCGTCGCTCGAAGAACGAGTGTGTTGGCGCTTTTCGGTAGCTTGTCCACTATGACGGGGATCGACATCAGGTCGTTCGTAATTCTGCCTCACGGAGGCATCTCGGCGAGGTTGGCGACGATACTTAGCCAGTGAATCATTGCTGTGATTCCATTTAAAATTTGCAGCATGTCTTCCCTCCAGAGAGGCTCCGCTGCCCACACTGTTCGCGTCAACGCCTCGTGCCTTAGCTCTCCGTTGTCTACCGGCCAGAACCCTGGGACCAACATCTGATCTGCTCCGTAGGAGGGAAGGACTGGGCTCGACATCCTGGACAACGCCATGGTTGGAGCTTGAGCTCGAGTGAGCGAGAGAGGCAGAAGATCCAACTTTCTTTTTCCTAGACTGTTGTACACGTGACGCGGCATCAACATCTTGCCTTGTGACTGAGACGATACCAGCCTGACCGGCGGAGTAGGAAGGCTGCGATCTGAAGTCTTCCGTCTGTTTAGAGACAAGGCCATGGGGGTGTAGCGGACATTGTTGGACATTATTTGCAGGGTGAGAGGAAGCTTCGTGATCCTGCTTTGCAGCTTGACGCGTGGAAAGTGGAGGCTGGGTAGCCTGGCCTTGGGGTATTGGAGACTGAGTTCTCGAAGAACTGTTTAACACTCTAGCTGGATCACTTTTAATTCTAGCTTGTGCCTCTGCTGATCGCATATTCGCAGGCATACTGCGATAGTGTCTGGCTGCACGGGATGATGTTGACTCGTTATCAGTAGAACTTCCTGGCTTCACAGCCATCAAATTTCGTAAGGCTGCAGCTGAGGCCTGGGCAATGGCTTTGTGCTTCGAATTGATAAGCGACTTGAACAGAGACACAGCACCGAGCTCCCAGAGGAGCTCCTGATCCTCGACGCACCGAGCCGACAGGTTCCACAAGGCACCACACACATTACTGACGACTCTTAGGCTTGGCGAACGTAGTTGAGTGAGCATTATCTGAAAGCAGCCGCAATCCCTGAGGGTTTTACGATAGTCGGGACGCACGGCAATGTGTGACGAAAGATTCCTCAAAATTCCTCCGCTGCTCTCTACCACGGAAATGTTACCAGAGGGACTCGAGTAGTTGAGACACCTGACGAAGAAATTCAGGGCGCCTGGTGCCGCACAAATCTCTGCCTTGTTATCCGAGCAATGAGCTGACAGGTTCCAAAGAGCACTGAGGGTTGTTCTCAGGGCGGGTTCGCCCTGTAATGATTGGGCCGCTGCCAACAACGCTTTCACTGCACCAGCTTCGCGAAGAGTCTTGCGGCAAAATTCATCCGCTCTCCAAGACAGGTTTCTAAGTACACTTGCAGAAACTTGAATAATCTCTTCTTCTTCAATGGTGTTCAGCTGAGCGATAATGGCGTCTACAGCACCTGGGATCCCGCACAACAAGCTCTTATTCTTCGTATTACCGAAAGTAAGATTGGTAATTGTCATGCCTGCATATTTACGAAGACTGATGCTGTAGAAGTCTTTGCACTGTCCATTCACCTGGTGATCGATCTGCACGAGTTCAGCGATAGCTTGAAGGCCACCGAGTTCGCAAATGGCCGTGCGATGATCTTCTTCAAACGAAAGCTTCATAAGGGCAGCAATGGCCGGACCTGGCCCATATTCCCTCAGAGGTGGATACCAACGTTCCGCACAGGGGTGTACTGCTAAACCTTTAAACTGCACAACATCACAGTGCGCACGCGCTATTTCCAGCAGTCTTAGAACTCGTATCTCGCGACGACCACGCCTATCTTCCACGTTGGAGTAGACAATGTTATGCAAAGCGAGTCCAGCACGCGCGCGAGCCTCACGGCGCGAATTTTTGTCCGTAAAGTCTTTACCGTGGAGCAGATCAATAAGAAGCGGTAAACATCCTGATTGCCTCATGGCTGCACAACTGTCCTTGCTGTTTGACATCGCCAACAGAGTTCGTGACATGTCATCTTTGTCATGTGTTCCTAGCATGGACAAAAGAGACTGTACCATGTCGATTCGGGTGTCAAGGTCGTGGTGAGTGGCCGCGGTGCTGGCGAAACTGACCAGGCTGGACGTCTCCATGCCGTCCAAAGCGTCATGCGGTGAATAACACATGGCTTCCAAACTCGACTGACTGATGCTCCTGGCGATGCCCCGATTATGGTTTCCTCCTTCGACGCCGCCATGATTTCTCTCGTTTTGGCCACTTCTCCCTTCACGTGGACCAGTGCATCTGCTCGGCCTATCCCTGTTGCTAGGTAACGGTTGATTGACTAGCCTGCTATCGTCAGCTGGATTCAAAGCAACTGGCTTGTAAGTATCCGCCATAACTTTACTAGAGACCTGGGCTTGAGTAAGAGTTTGTTTTTCCTGCGGGGGCTCCACGATAACGATGTCTTTGGTAATTAGTGGATCGCCCTGTGGCACAGCTTCACTCGTTACACCATCAGCTGGGGGTCCTGTGGAGGAACAAGTCACATTAGTACATTAAAACAACACTGGCAATTTTTCACAAAGCATGGCTGATGCATTTAGACAAGACTTCACAGTGGATATTTGATCGTTTTATTCCAACGATGGTCCTCTTAATGAATCGATATCAAAGCACATGTATTTGCTAAATGGTTAAATTTGTTTTGTTAGATGTTTAGAAAGATGTAATCGTGTTCCCTGTGATTCTCTTGTTGGATTCGAATTAGTGGCTTTAAAATTTGATGACGGTCTGATGACACGATCGAAAAAAAATTTCTCCGACTTGATTTTCATCACCCTGACAGTTGTGCCACTACTCTTCCTGGTAACGAAAAAGGATAAACGTAAAGCGCCTGAATACCTTGTCCTTGCTGCGCATGCTGGTCCTGCTCGCTACAAAATCCACTATCTCCCGGGACAGGTGGTCCGACTCCTTGAACAGTTTTCTCAGCGGCTTTTTCATCGCGGAGAACTTGCACTTTATCGCTTGCCTCTGCGATTCCTGTGCTTCTGACCTCCTCTTGAATAGCTCGCTGTTCTTCCAGGGTCATTCTGTACGATCGGTTTGAAGAATGATCTGATCCGGTCCGACCCTGTGAGATTTTTAACAGCAGCATTACATAAATACGCTGAAACATTGTTGAGTTTATAAGTTTTTAACTATCGGCAATGGCTCCTCACAGCTGATTGAGGGTAAAACTTATTAACATACTCTCTCTCAAACTCATCGTTCGTTTAAAATTTGTATTTATCCTATGTGCTTTTAATAGTGCGTTAAAAGAACTTAAAAGCAACAAAAAATTAACCATCACTGAACCAAGGATAAAACTGAATCACAACAAATTCATCTTGAGGTCCTAAATGTCTAAAAAAATCGCAAGATTTGCTTGGAATCACTTATCTATATAATCGAAAAAAGCAGAACCAGTTTTAATATGCTGCCGATCCTTTTGCAGATGTTATAAAATTCAAGTGCCTCGATTAAACTGATAACTGCGTTTAGAGGATGAACTATGGTGTTTGTAAATCATAAATCACAGCAGCAAATTAGATACCAGCACTTAGTGGGCACAGTCAAGCACAGGTTGGCAAAATAATTAGTTGTTTATCAAATATTAATTACCTACAAAGTGGACAATTGAAGGTACTCACCCCACAAGACTGGCGATCATCCTCCATCCAAGGTGGAGTCAGATAAATGTTTTCTTCTGAAGGACGGCGCGAGTTTTCCATTGATCTTGTTTTACGATATTGGGCAGCAAAGTCCTACAGCAGGTAAAACAAAAAAAATTAACCATAAACATCAAGTTAAACCCATACGGACTGCTGGCTCTCTCTATATGCAGGCAACTGATTATCAAACGTCGATAAAGTTACAGTCAACAAACCAGAGAAACGGTTTAAAACCATGTGCATGAATATCAAAGTGAAAACAACAACATCTGTAATGTGCAGCGTATCAAATTATAGAAAAAGAAATAGAATCTGTCGCTAGTCGCCCACAGTAACCATGGAGCTAAACCAGGAAGCAAAGCAGAGCAAAATAAGAATGTCCCCAATAACTTGCACAGCTGAGTGAGTTTCTGTGAAATATATCTGCTTGTACATATAATATTCAAGTTGACAATGCTATCAGTAATCTGAATAACTTTACTTTTGGAGTGCAGTACAAATATGTATCTACCTTGGTAGAATCTCTCTCATCTTCCTCATGCCAAGGGGGAGGCTGTCCTTGTCTCATACGTTCCTCTATCACCATGTTATTGATGCTAAAGTTCTTTGCAACTGGTTCTTCTGTCACAAATGGCTGAAGGAAATAAAGATTTTGACTTCATGTTACTGTTGTTGTCTTAAAAAAAAAACAGTTATGCACAAAGTTACAAACAAAAAATCCTGAATCAAACTCAAGTCACCTCTGACAATATTTTGGAACCATAAAATGGCTGAGGATTGGAAAGATAATCAAAGTTTCAATCTCACTAAGTAATAATTCCAGTTAAGTTTTCATTCACACAAAATAGTGACTCACTGCCCCTCACACATGCCCATATAGTACATCTACTGAGACTAAAATGTTAGTCACATGCACACCTGTGTAGAGAATGTACTGTATATTCAATGTACCCACCCTGACAGGTCCATCATCTTCTTCATTCCAGGGGGGAGAAAGACATATGTGCTCATCTGAAGGAAGCCTACTCAGTTGCTGACTAGCTAAACCTGATGGAGGTTCTTGTTTTCCAGACACACGGCTGAAATCCTGAGGGATAATATTTCAAAATTAGAAAATACTCTTCTGGAGTTACAGGTAATGTGCTTCTATAATGGTGAAAAAGGGAAATGGAGTTTTGAAGAGACGTAGCACAATGGATGTATTCTTGGCAATAATAATCAAGTTTTTTTTTTCCCACAGGATCTTCACCATGTTTAAAGAACTTAAAACCAAGAGGAGTGGGAAAAACTACATCAAAAAATACATTATCACATTAAGAACAGTGTAAAAGAACTACAGTTTCTATTGTATATCTCCCACCATGGATTTTTAAATTTATTCCAAGCATAAGAAGGACTACATTTGACAAGTACCTACCCTGACAGAATCTACCTCATCATCATGCCAAAGAGGCGGTCTTCTAATGTGTTCCTCTGCAGCTCGCTGATAAATTGCCTCATCAGTACGCTCCATATACTTTGCTTCCTTCTGGCGATCATTTCCTGTAAAATCCTACAAAATAAAAGTGGGTTCGATATCTTGATTAGATAATAATGCAACAGCAACAACATTTTCCCCAAATATAAAAAAAAAAAAACTTTATTTCTTTGATACAAAATACAATCATGTTCATTTACACTTATCAGTTAACATTTGACAACATTACCTTCACTGAATCCACATCATCTTCATCCCAAATACGAGCATCAAGAGTTTCTTTTTTATCTCTGTTTCCTGCAGCCTGACTCTTGCTTGATTTAACTGATATTTTTCCTCTTTCACTGGCTCCAAAATCCTATGGAGGAAGAAAAAGGCTTTCTTAGCTCTGTGGTGATAGCTGGGCTACATAAAAATGTGCAATACTCTACTTCATTTTATAATATACACATACCCAAAATCTAATGTTCAATTTTTTTGCCCTGTGTCTATTTTTAACTTGTTTCGTAAAAGGTCTGTAAAACTAAGAATTGGTTGTACATTATCCACATTCTCTTTGCCAAGCATATTGACAATTAAACTGAAATTGTAAAAAGTTACAGATGCACAAAATTTGGCAGATACAAGAAAGCCTGATTACCTTAACAGAGTCACTATTTCCCTTATTATTGTATGCGGCCTTCACCATTGCATCAATTTTTTCCTTCTTCAGAGGATGTCGGTACAAGCTTGGAGATATGGGTTGTTTCTCTGACATTGTCACCTGACCATTCTTTCCCACACTGGGATTCATAGGCAAAGTGGGTATTTTTCCACAGGAAACTGAATTATCAGAGTTTCTTTTCATAGCAGGGCTTTGAGTCTGTGGTACACTTGGAATGGACCCATTTTGTTTGAGAGGCAGGTTTCTCCCTGGATTAGATGTGGGTGGTAAGGTGGGAATTTTCCTTTGGGCCATCTCTTGATGTGGTACCTGCTGTCTTGCTTTTTTCTTCTATTAATATGCACAAGTTAGAGAAATAATAATTAGTTTATAGAGAGAAAATACAAATGTGATAACAGTATTTTTTTGTGTGCTGAATAAGAACTTCAAGTAGCTCTTCTATAAATAAATATTGTAGCATAATGAAAGTGACTTTAATTAGAGTCTGCTTTCAAATATTATTGATTTTTCAGGCTAGGCAAAGAAAAAGGGAGTAATTTCCAGCCCAAACAGTAAATCACATCTCACAACTGTGCATCATTGAAATTTTGCACTGGCTATGGTAAAAGTAGCTGACTCGACTTCTCAGACCAGCGAAGATAACAATGCAAATAAAAACCTGAATAGGTCAGCATCCAGCACAGTAAATATGTTAAACATTAATTTTTATGAAAAAAATAGGCATTGTGAGCATTATCTTTGAAGCTGTTCTTGGATGAGATTGGGTAAATATGGTTGATGCTCTCTTTTCAATCCAAAGGCAGCAGGGAATTTTCTCAGAGCATTTAGAAGGTTACAAAAATTCTCCAAAGTTTTAGAAAGCCTCAACTTCATCCAATTTCAGTATAAATTTCAAGAATTTTCTCAATCTCCAAGCACTGCGCTAAGGTTACCTATATATATATATACACAGTCCATGCCAAAGTAAATAGTCAAAGTTGCCGTCATACTTACTCCAGTCTGTTGTTGATTCACCAATGTCTCTACATCACTTCCTCCTGATTCTTCTTCCTCTGAAAGTTCCCAGCTTTAAAAAACAAAGATCACAAGAATCACAATCTAGAACCTAATAAGCCTACACATTCTTATGCATTTAAAAAAAACATGATTGTTCTGAATGTTTTATGGGTTTTTCGTGACCTCACATCATGAGATTTGTTTCAGAATAATGTTTAACAATCACCAATTAAAAATTTCCTTTTTTCACTGTTCCTAAAAGGATCATTACCCTCACTTTCAATCATTTTCTATGAATATAACTTTCTATGACCAATCCTCAAATCCCATGATTCCTTAGCATGGAGGATGAGCAATTTTACCAGACAAACACAAACCTTGCAGGCTGGTGAAAAAAGTGCCCTATATTTGTCACTTTAAATCTATAAAATGTAGACTTCATTTTGATAATACTTTCACTATTTATCAGGGTTCCTCCTCCTTCAATGCCTATTCATGACCTTATTCACAATGTTTTCAACTTTTCATTTGACTTACTAAAGATGTGACCTTTTTCAAAAATATGAGGACACTCATCCTTTGTTTAATGTATTTATTGCTATACTGCTCTGATAACAATTATTCCATAGTTTTCCATAGCTCTCTATGACCCTTCATACCATTACTCTCAAGGCCAATTCCAAGGCTTTTTCATATCTCCTTGCAAGTGAAAACCCCGTTACTTGTGTAAGCATAGGCAACTTTACTATAAATGACAGATATCCCTTTCACTCCCAAGATCTCAATAAAATTTTTCCTTACAGTCTGAAAAACATTTCATCAAATTGAAGCTTTGAGAATTTGGTGCCCAATCACCCTTTCGCTTGACATTATATTGATAATGCTTGAAGAAAAAAATCTTAATCGGTCACTCCTGGGAGTGAAAGGTTATCTTTGGGAAGTGACTACATATAAAATGAAGTTATAAATTAAGATTTAATAGACTGTATGGAAGCCACTCAAAAAAAAAAAAAGCTTATGAAGTCAAATGACATATTGGTTTCAAATAGAATAAGAGAGATGGTAAGTTTTGAGTTCATTAAAGAAATAGAGAAAGATGTTTTTGGTCTTGTCACAAGTGTAAGACTCAGAATTTTTTCTTCGTCTCATGCTCATGAAAAGATGAAAAACAACTTTCTTTATGTCAGTTTCCATTATAACATAATAAATGTTGGAATATAGTGATAATAATTATAGTGACATTTCTATCCTACTGATTCAAAACAAAGTTCAAATATATATATATGTACATAATATAACATTAACACGATGGTATAAATACATGCTAAAACCAAATGTACTTACTGTGGAGTTTCTCTCACATCAATTTCATCTATGTTTCTATCAAAGAATGTCTCGTCTAGGTAAAACAAAGAATACACTGTGTTAATGAATACACCCTTGTATGCATTCAAGGGGAAACAGAACTGCTTTGGAACAAAGCCTGGTGTATGTTTTGATGAGAAATTAGAAAAGTAGGAACAAACTGAAAAAATATAAATGGGAGGTACTTGTTTCTTGGCTTACAACAAAAACTGCTGTTAACCCTTTACACCCTAAAATCAGTATGCATATTCTCCATACTGCTCTTTATACATTTCCTAAGGTATCGACAAGGAGAATTTGTTTACCAATCAAAAGCTTATTTGGTTAGTGATCACTTCCTTTATTCTCATGACCTTAATGTGTGATTCAGGGATGATAATGTAAGGAGAAATCTGATGCCAGTCACTCTAAGGGTTTTAAGTGTTAAGGTCACTACTTTTGCAAGGTCATTGCATGCTTTTCCAGAGGCAGCTTCTTTTTTCCATGCATCATATTTACACCTACTTTTTAGAGGTAGCTACTTTTAGGATTGAGAGGAAAGTGGAGCTTCTGATAAAGCACAATCAGACCAGCACAACAAACTGATTATTGATCTCCTTCATAGAACAACGATGACAAGTTTTGACGCTTAATTTCATATCTTACATCAAGAAAAAAGTTTTAATTACTGTAATTGGTCTTCACTAATCATAAATGAACAAAAAAATCGTTCTCCTACGCAGTTATGCACTTCAGAAATTATCTTAAATGACTACAATGTCAGTGAATGATAGAATATACAGATCTTTATACCCTTAAATGCTTTTTTTAAGAGTGACTAGCGACAGGTTTAAAAGAAGTTAGAAACTTTAAACAGTAAATATTTACGAAGGCAGAGGGCATGTAATGGGCTTATATGGAATGTTTGCTGTTACAGAATGGTGCTTGTCTGACAAGTACCTGTCTTGCTTGAGTCAAGACAGACCAAACACGTTTAGGAAAATGCGTCAAAATTTCAGAGGTTGAGACAAACATGATAGATGAAACAAGGCGAAGAGAAACATCAAAGCTTACTAGATCAAATACAACGCGTTGAAGCTTAAAACCCTAGTAGTAACCTTAAAAACGAAAACTCTCCAGAACGACGAAGGCCATTCAACGCAGAGACAAGGTCAAACAAACATCTGTGAAACTCGTTGACAGGAAAAATTGCAGATATATGAACACATTGCGATCGTTTGAATATCTTCGACACGCGCGACCTTCAATTACACATATAGTACTTACTACAAGAAAGACGAAGCAAACTTTAGCAATGTTACCATAATTGAAAAGACGGTTGCCACAACACCTAATAACTGAATACATCACCGTTAAGACGTACCTATGTCATCTATTTCCATATCACGTACTAACGCTTTGCTTCCAAACTTCGATCCTTCCAGTCGCTGAAATGTTCCCAATGTTGTTATGCTCAGTGATGAAAATGGTTTCCAGAGCGCTTCATAAGCGGTTGAAGTATGGCGGTATTCAGAGAGTTGTCACACAAAAGAAACGTCTGTACGTTTATATTGTCGGCAAGCACAAGAGGGTCGAAAATTGTCCAATAAACCTCCTACACTTCCCGAAAAAGCAGACCGACAAAGAATCGTGGGGTGATGCGTACGGCGACACGAAACACTGAACATTCACCGACGAAAAAAATTCAACAGAAAGGCAATGATTACAACAAACAACCAAAACCGGCTTTTTGATTCATCAGCGCGAGAGGTTTCGGCAGTTCATTCAAAATACTCCTGCAAGAAGCCTTCAAACAACAACAAAGTTGCCGACATCTTTTCCACTAAAGCGTCGAGGGGCACACTGGGCCATTATTCAAATGACCTAACAAGGAGTTTCTAGAGCTCAGTCCCCAGCGACAATTATACCACTAGGAAACTAGTAATCTATTTAACAGACCAAAAGCAAGCGAAATAATTTTTAAAAAACGAGTTGTTTTTTTAGCCATGTTGATAATTACTTATATTCGACTTTCTCTATCGGCGAGCAACAACAGAGGAGAAATAAACGGCGATGCGTACAATCGATTCTTACCGACAGCGCGTTGACGGACCGTCTCTTGCGCAAGGCGTGCAATACATTCCGTGAAACTTAATGTATTTAGGCATACTATCTATTTACAAATGTGACCGCTCTAGACGCCTAGAGCTGGTAAATATTTGACGATGGAACTTGACGTTAGCAAAAAATTATACCCTGGACTTTACCTAGATCTGCAGGTTAACTGGGACTTCGAACAGTGAATCGCGCTAAAAATCTGCGCCTGGCATACAAATTGTGTTCCACATCAAATCTATGCTCTTGTCATGTTCTTAAGAATCACTTGTTTTGCTCACTTGAACCTAAGACAAAGTCTTACTAAGGTAGAAGACTGCAAACAAGTGTCCCTTTGAAATAAGCGCCCCAAACACTAATTCGAGCGTTTGGTGTCAATTAAGGCAATACTGTAGAGTGCCCTTTGTAGCAGAGATGTGGGACCACTATGCCAGCGACATACACTACATTTATCAAATTTGGCGCAGGATTCCCCGTGATAACCAACAAATCATTACATAACCAAAGCATTTTTTACTATCGCTATATCGCAGTTGTCGCACTGTTTAAAATTTAACCGGATCCTGCCCCAATTGTGATGAGAAAGTCGGTCGTCCGACTTTCATTTAAACTTGATTCTGGATTTAGATTTAACTCAATAAATTTCACACAAGTTAACATCAAAATGACACCTGAGACCAATAAGAAGTAAGTTCTATACAGAAGTACGTTGCATTTATTTAAAGGCAATTTGTACAAATGCGAAAAATACTTTGCTTTCGGCAGATTGCACTGCAATAATTTACCTGTAAGATAGTTTTACCATACTAAGAGCGTAGAGTGTGCCTTTCCTTTTAAAATAGTACCCACAAAAGAAACCATGTACATTATGCAAAGCTGATAGAAAGAAGGTCCGAAACGTTTTTCTGTCCTTTTCAACCCATTCACTCTCAAGATCCAATCAGTAATTCTACCAACTGACAATTCTACCAAGTCATTCTAAATTAGAGAGGAGAATTCGATCTTTACATTGGGACCGCATGGAGAAATCAAATGACAGTTACCTCGGGGTGTTAAAGGGTTGACTTAATAAAGTACATACCAGGGAAACGAATATTTTTACTTGGACACACAGAATAGAGCTCTAACGCGCTACTCGACTCGTAACCCTTCCAAAGGCTGATCTCTGGACTTGCATTCAGCCATTAGACGAAAACTACCCACTTACTTACCAGGCCCCCTCCTCTTTACCACAATTCATCTCAGTTTGCTCTGCCAGTCAGACCTAAATTTGGGCTATCAAGAATAATCTTTTGATCGAACGCCTTAAATTGTACATGACTAGGCTTTATTAGATGTTTAACTATAATTTTCTTAAAAAAGCTTTCGCCGATAAAAATGTGCCCGTTCTGACACAGATGGTCTTAGAAGCAGGCTTACAAGAGAACTAAGCAAAAATTATGCTTATCTTGATATTTCTCAATCTTTAAAGCCATAAGAAGATTAACTGCCCAGCAGTAACTTCAGTTTCATTATTAACTACTTTGAAAGATATTAGCGGACGCCTCTTTCAAGGAAAAACTCATTTAAGAAGTGTTTTGAGACATTCTTAGAAGAAAGATAAATGTCTTCCCTCTTCTGAAGAAATTATGCCAATTTTTCCAACAAAATCTAAGAAAGTCTCAAAGCCACTATAAATAGCGCTGATTACCATTGAGTGTCGTAAAACCGAAACCAAAGTAATCACAACAGCGAATAAAAAAGAAATATATATATAAATATCGCAGCGAGCCAATAAGGATACATTCAAACTGCGTAAAGCGCGGGAAAACGCGACTGACCAAGTTGCGATTAGTTTTAGTTTTAAATCTGATTGGTTTAGAAAGTGGCGTGAGTTTTCTGCATCAATCATAGAACAAGTCAAGCCAAACCAAAGCAATCCCAGATTACTTACAACACTCAATTACAAGTTGCTCTATTACTCTATGATAATTCAATCATACTTCATAGGAAATGGTGTGAACCATAAATGGAAACATCTACGTCAGACCACTCAAAAATGTTTACAAAATTGTGAAGCATACTTCTCTCTTTAGTACAAATTTTTGCCCGACACCGAGCACAACTGACATTCATAATTTATATTGCTCTAAGTATGAGCTTAAATTTAATTTAATTGTACCCTTTTAGAAGGGAAAATATTTTTCATATGAAGCCAAAGGCCGATCTCAAACCATTACTCTTCTACCAACTCAGCCTAAAACGATATCATAGCGCTTCACAAGGGAAGTTAAAATGTAAAACACAGCTCTTCACGGTGGTCTCCTTGGCTAACACAGTGCTTGAAGCTCTATGGACACAACTCTGTGGCATTTATCGGTATTCTGAAGATCTTGGTTACGAGGAAAAGATGCATTGTCAGGTAGCACGGGACACTTCACATCACTCCACATACAGAGCTCTTGGCCATGGGTTTCTGTCGTGCTGAATTTTGACGCTGTAAATTAAGTTAACAAAGCATTAGGGAGCTCACATCGAAAATTTCCGGACAAAAATTTGATTTACCACCATAATTAAGACCAGGTTTTCCGTGCAAATGGAAAGGGCCCTGATAATTTTACATTCTAATCCTCAAGTGGCGGTCACCGCACTTCGAAAAACTGGTCAATGACTTACAAATTTGAAGAGGCTCACCTTCTCTTTTGCCTGCTGTCTCAGCTGCTCCTAAAGGAGAAAAAGAGGCAACAGATTGATTTAAAAAGGTGTTTCATACTACTGGCCTAACTTAATATGTTCCTGATTCAGTTTTGATTACGCCACTGTCGAGGGTAGGGAGGTCAACGTACCTGCTGCATTCGAGCCAACTGCTCCTGTAGCGACAACACCACGTTGTAGTTATCTTGAAGTTTATCGAATTGCTACAAGATAGTAAACACAAATACGTCAAATGGCTATGGTTTACGTATGTCACCGTTTTAAGTCATTCACAGGAAATGGGAAAAGAACGCGCTTCATAAGAGAACTTTACACTAGCAGGAAAAAACTCTCCCGCATCTGTATCCTTCGTTCTATATTTTCATCGTTCGGGCTCTTTGCATTTATATTGTTTAACGAGTTTCTCACTCTTTCTAGAGTGCCGATCTTTGCTGACATTGTTTTTAGAGTTTTTCAATCTCACCATTTTGCCTTTGGGACCTTTTTCCTTCTGCCCTTAATTTTTTTTATTCCACTACATTAATGTTTGTTTACGTTGCATTTTCGGTCCCATGATTTGTCGTTTCATTTTAGGACCTTTCCGATCCACTATCGGCAGAAAAATGTCAGTCATTCCCTTTGTCTTTTGCGCTTGGCTTAAGTGTGCTCCAAGCTGCCCTTTCTTCTTTTCCCACATTTTCTTTGATTTTGCGCTCTTTAACTTTGTAATTGCACCTGTTACCATTATTATCCCATTTACACCAGAAAAACATGTTTAGTTACACTGGGTTTAATTGAATGAAAATTAGAAATAGAGAACTGAAAAACTGAATTTTCCATAAGTATCAGGTGGTCATTAATTTGCCTTTTCAAGCTACGTCATTTGAACGAGACAAACATTGGTTTAAGCAGCTTCTATGTTAAACAAAACCGCTTTAAAAAGTGTTAAAGCTTTGGTATGATTGGGGTTTATGTTAGCTAACTAACTGATCCGTCTCCAAATTTCTTCAAAGAGCTACGAAGCTTAAAAAAGCCTCCCATATAAATTTACACGATTTAAAGTATAAATTTTCGGATGAATTAAAGAAAATTTCGATGATCTACTACATTATTGATAAGGTGAGCATCAATGCCTTCTCCCAGAACACTCAGTGATAAAACCGCTGATATATTCAGCCACCAAAGTCAATTACGAAACGAAGGCCGCGAAAATTCACCGGAATTTAGATAAACAAATAGACCTTCCTCATAAATGGCGGGAAAATGATTCCATTTAATAGTCATGTAAATTAGCGTTCCACACTTCTTTTAATCATGACCTTACCTTCGATAATTCCATTTTGAGATTAAGAACTTCGTGAGACAACTTCTCCTCTCTTTCCTGAAATTTAGCAAATAAAATTACTTGGTAAAACTTTAAATAAAATAAAGTTTCAAAATGATTCCGACGCAAACCGCTGCAAAACGTGATAATTTCATAAGTCGGGCGACGTATCTCGCTATCTTGAATGGCTCAAGTCACACTTGAGTGCTCGAGTCATTCTTCGTTGACTGTGCAATAAAGCTCAGAAAACTATAAAGGGCCTCAACGAAAACTATAACTAAATATATTCTTATGAGAACAGATTGAATACTCACCTTTGCCTCTTTCTCTTGCTCGCCCCAGGCTTTCTCCGCCACTTCCAGTTCTTTCCTGTGTAGGTCTTGTAATCGTCTTTCGTTCTGGATAAAAAATTAAACCTCTCAGTTCAGATAAGATATGAAGATTAGAACCCAATCTTAAAATTAGGAGTTATCTTTCTTTTACGTTGTGTCATTTACCTCATCCTTCTCAAGTTTTAGTCTATCGATTTCTTCTTGGAGAGAAGCGTGTTTTGCAGCAGATTCGCGGCGCAACTCTTCCAAAACGGCCTGGCCGAACAAAAAAACAAAAAAACAATTGTTATTTGAAAATTCCCTTCAAGAAACAGAGTCGGTCGATTATTCTGTCTGTCTTTCATTCTGTCCGTCTGTTTGTCTTTCTGTCCGTCAATATGTCACTCAGAACGAGTCAATGAACGGGATTA